GAAAATACAATAATCCTTTACATTTGAACCTGATACAATTATGGCTATTCATTTGAATTAATTATTTTGCTTTGGCCAAAATAAAAAACCAATTTCTATTTCTTGTGTATATCAATAGTGTATTGCTTACTCATATGATTAAAAATACTAACAATGTGTTAAGTGACAGAACAGACCAACTTTTAAACATTTTAAAATGCTTTTCACTCCACAGAAAATTCACACCTGATAACTAAATTTGTAACATACTCAACTGCACTAACATATCCAACTGAACTTACTTTAAAGGTGCCCATAAATTTTTAAATGGCCCAACTCAGACTTAAGATGAACAGTCTACCCTTATGTACATGTCATAGGCAAAAGAGAAAAATATTTACAAAATTTACTTAAAAAACTATGTGGACAGGCACATGCTCATGTAGTTAAGCATCTTTTCCTGCTTTTTGACAGAAAGAAATAAAAAACTTAGCCAATAATCAAATCAAACTTTCAATTCACTTTCGTGATTCCTCAGAGTATGGTTTCATCCTACACTTAATAAGCACTATGAAGATACATGAGAGATTGTGCAGCGTTTAGAATACTCAGTAAGATACTTCAAAGTACTGCCATGTCTAATAAACCAGAATGTCAGTTTATTAATGTAAAATGAAAACCATGAAGTTGGCAAAAACACTGACAGGGGCTGGTAAGTGCATCTTCTCCTTAAATGTCTCCCAAAGATCTTAAAATTCATCAAGAGGGCATGTGCTGAGCCAGGTGGGGGGTGTACACCTGTAATCCCAGCACTTAGGAGGCTGACACAGGAGGATCATTGTAAGTTCTAGACCAGCCTGGGACACAAAGTGAGCCCCGGCCAGCCTGAACCACAGAGTGAGATCCTGTCTCAAAAAACAGAGAGGAGTGTCAAAGGTTTAGTCCTCAGCCCATGTTGTTACACGGGAAGTGATATAACCTTTAAGAAGTGGGGCCCAGTGGGAAGAAGTTAGATTACTGGGGGGTGTGCCCTGAAGGGGTGACAGGGACTCCCACCCATAATTCTTTTTTCATTCCTGGTCATTATGAAGTGGGTAGCTTTCCTGCTACGATATACTCTGACAACACAAACCCAAAGCAACAAGGCCAATCAGTCATGGACTGAAGCCCCAAAACTATGAGCCAAACTAAACCTTTTTATGCTGTCATCTGAGGTATTTTGTTACAGTCACAGAAAGCTGACTAACACATCTTCTTCTCCAAAAAGGTTCACATGGACAATAGCATTTTACTGTAAGTGTTCATTACATGGACAGTAATTTAAGATTCACATTTGTCTTTCTCAACAATATCCTTTGTATCCATTCCTTCCTCTTCACTCACATGCCCACATTTCTCCTACTATAAAGAGTTTTAAGCATTCTATAGCAAAAAATATGTTCATATCAACGAACACACACATTAAGTGACGTTTCACCAAACAACACTTTATTCTATTACATGTCATATAGTGTATTTTTTGTATTTTTTAAATGATTCCAACTTACCAACGGGTACAATCATAAACCTGAAAAAATTCCAATTTATTATAGCTACCTCTCTGATCACTGTTACTTCATTTTCTATATACCACTTATCCTCATGATCATATTACTCTTTGCTTAAAAGATGTAAAAGGTTCCCTCTATCTTATATGAAAAGGAAAAAATATACTTCTGTGATTCAGCCATTCATTCATTCTGGAACTATACATGGAGGACTCACAATATGCAAGGCACTGTGCTAGCTACATTCTTACACAGCATAGCTGACACCCATGTCCTTGTAACTGGAATGCCCTTCTCTCCCTTAATCACCTCACAAATTCCTTCTCAGCCTTCAAGAGCCAACTCAAATGTCTCCTTGACACAGCTCCCCTGGCCTCCTTTCTCACCCCTTCAGCTCTCTCCCATCTCTTGCCATCACATACTAACCACATTCTTCTTTTACTCTGCTCAACACACTACACTGTGGTCATTGTAGAAGATGGCAGTCTTCCCCAAACTAAGACTTATTTTTGTTATCCATAGAACATTTTATTGCTCAGAGAAGGAACGAACATCTGCTATAATTTCAAATGAGTCTGCAATGCCTTTACACTGATTTCTTCAATTTTGGAAAACATGCATTTTTCTAAATGTTACAGTAAATGCATATTTAGGAACTTTCTTTTTGAAGCCTAATTTCAATATATAGATGTTTTTCTTCATTAAAAATTTGCTCAGCAGCAGCCAGTCTGACTTGGGAGATTTGTTTTGAAATTGATCCAATGAATATTCTCAATTTCAATAACCACTCTGGCAAGAAAAAGCATGCAGGATTTCCAAAATCAATACATTAGGTCAGTGTCTGCAGTGCAGCACAATTCATACAGGCAATTCAGTGCTATTGCATGTGTTTCCATTTCTGAATGCTAATCACTTTTGATTTGAAGATAAGCTGTCAGATGCCGTGAATCTGTTTGTCATCCCCTCTCCCACCACCCCTACAAAAGGCTTTATTGTCTCCTTTCCAAACACTTTCAGGAAGTTTTTGTAGAAAAGGATAATTTTTTAAATAAGTGATTTTTAAATAGTCTTCATTACATAAAAGTAACACAGAACTGTAACTCAATTCATGCAGGGATTCTCTAAAGTTCTCTGTGCACTCTACCTTTCCTCACATTTCCAATGAGACTCAGAGTTCCCATTTCTATTTTTAGGTTTCAATTTGCAAGGGAAGTCTTCTACTTTCCTACATTCTATCACCATTAAATATCCTGATTCATTTTTACTGCTACCACCCTAGTTCAAATACGCACAGCATTAAGGGACTATGAGACCAGCTATGGTTGTGGATGCTCTCTCATATTCCCATAATTTCAAGTGTAAAATGAAAATATTCAGACCTACAGAACACTTATAGTGAGTATGAATGAGTGTGTGCCCTCTGAGTATGCCTGGAACAAGTCCTGGCATCAAGCAGGTGCTAATTAACTTGAAGGACCATTCCTCTTGTCTTGTTCTACCCCAGTTCTCCTCTTGGACTTCACAGTAGGACTCATTTTGAAATATGAATGTGGTCTCTTTACTCTCCTCAAATTCCTTCATAATTGCCCTTACCCTAGGACAGTTTTCAGTGTCATCTCCAGACCAGCAGCCCCTGAGAACTGATAAGAATGGTAAATTCTCAGGCCCCACCCCAGACCTTTTCAATGAGAAACTGTGGAAATAACTGTGGCCCAATAACACTTTTGCAAGCCTTCTGACCTACAGACCAGAACCTCTGTCCTATGAACAAAGTCTAGACTTCTTTCTTTATCGGAAAATTTAGTTTCTCCAAAACAATTTTCTTGCACTCACTTTTCCAATTTTCTTCTAGAGAGGTTTACTTATCTTCCAAATCTGGGGCTTACCTACTCAATTCCAATAGATATTACTCATCTCTTGCATCTCTCTCCCCCATGACAAGCTCCCTACACTACCTAAACGCCATTGTTTTGTGAAAGTCTTTCTTAAGGATCCTAGTCCAATTATTTCCTAATATTGATTTATGTGATAATCCGTACAGACCACAAAAAGATATACCTGTTCATGGAGGATGTTAAATCAAACGCTTGTCAATTACATTCCCAAAATAAATTAAAATCACAAAAAACAGTTTTTTGGCATATGTTGCAGAAAACCAGATCTTAAATTCCCACAAGGCAAAAAACACCAAGTTTCAAGCACTCATCAACTCTTTCCATCCCAAATACATAGGTTCTCTTTTGACAGCCTCAAAATTCTGTCATTGATATTTTAATGGTTATGTATCTTTTCATGGGTTGGTTTTTTTTTTTTTTTTTTTTTTTTTTGGGTCTCTCCTTACAGACTGTAACCTTCACAAGGGCTATCTTTAATAAAACAAAAACAAACAAACAAAACACTCTATTTCCCTAAATGCAAAACAGCAGCGTTTAATATATAAAAGAATAATCAGGACACCCTGGCAAGGTGGCACATGCCTGGAATCACCACACTCTGGTAGGGGAAGGCAGGAGGATTACAAATTCAGCTCAGGGCGGGCAATTTAGAGAGACCCTCTCTCAAAATTTAAGAAAGGAAGAAAAGAAAAGAAAAGAAAAGGTAGGGATGTAGTTCAGTTCCAAGGCCTTTGCAGTGCAATCTCCACTACTGAAAAAAAAAAAAAAATTTCCTCCCTCTGGACATTGTAGATGACTCCAAAATGTTTCAGTTCTAGAAATTTTTGGTTTTCTACAAACTTGGAAGTTTTATTAGTATGTTAGTTCTGTTTTCCCAAAAATACATGGAATACAACTCTTAAGTAAAAGAAAATTTATCCTATTATTTTGGCTTAGATCGTCTTGTCAATGAGAAGTATTTGCAGAGAGTGCGTTTTCCGCTAGAAGAGATCCAGCCCCTGCTCGGACACACTACTGGCCAGGACCTAGACACTGCAGCTGTCTTAGCGCGACTCCACCTTCACGTCCTGGATCTCATCCCACCGCAGGGAGGTACTTGCACTTTGGCAAACTCCTGTACCTTGCTTCCACCTAGCCGTGGGTCAACCTTTGAAAATCTGACCGTGGCAATGGATGTGCCTTGCCAAAACTCTCTTCCTTGTGGCAGGAAGGCAAGGTCACAGACCTGCCCAGGACGAAGAGAATTTAAAAATGTTTACAAGACCTTTCTTTCATAAGAAAAAAATGAACTTTCCTTTTGAATCTATCTGCGTACGCCTGCCCACATACATTACGACCCAGGAAACATCACCCTCGATTCGCTAATATTCTCGTTTGCTTGCCCTCCCCTAAGCCTCCAGGGGGCGCCTCCGGCGCCCGCGCTGACCCCAGGCGCGCAAACCACCATAGCTCGAGCCTCGACTCAGGACACAGCGCGCACCCCCACCCCATACTCACCCTTCCGGGTCCACGGAAGTGCCGCCCGCCCCTTCCGCCCCTTCCGCTCCGCCCCTTCCGGTGAGAACTGGCGCGCAGGCGCCTTGAGAGGGCCGGCTAAAGGAGGAGCCCTGAGTAGCGGTTCAGGACCGATGGCGGCGCGGGGCGGGGCCGAGGTGGTGGCGACGTGGAGGCAGAGTTCCGGCGTGCGGCGGCGGCTGCGTGAGCGCTAGGGACTCCCGGGCGGCGGCGGGGCTCTGGGGAGCGGAGCAGGGGAAGGTAGGGGGCGCGTGTGCGCACTTAGGTAGCTTTTGCTTGTCTGGCAGTGCAAAGGGAGCCCTCGCCTGGGCTCTGCAGCGATGACGCGCGTCCCCTCCGGCCTGGCCCTTCGCGCGCACCGCCCCCAGCGGCCTGGGCGGCCCAGTCACCCCGAACTCCTCTCCTTCTGGGGAGCTTAAAGTACGGGGTAGAGATAGAGCCCGTGACATTTGACCAACTGGTGGGAACAGCCGCCCATTCTATAGTGTGCAACCTGTTCGAATAAATGCTCAACTTCCAGCTGCATTACGGTTTTAAGTTTTGAAAACATAGCGTGGCTTTGAATGATCTAGAGACCGTTTTTTTCTTTTGAAATTCACCCTTTCACGTTAATATTTCTTAACACGCACCAGACGCCAGGACCTACGCTTCCCTAGGGATGCCCTCGGAAAGGCACCCGAGGGGGGAAAGGCTCTTGAATGAAGTGGAGATGAAAAATGAACATGCATGTTAATTGAGTTGTTAAATCTGTTAGATGGTGTAATAGGTATTTAACCCGTTGCATACTAGTCTAGAATTTGTAGAGAAAATATATTCGTATCTCACGTGTTTGCTATATTGTGGTAAAGATAGCATCCGGAAACAGTAGCCAAATTATAACAAGTAGAAATGGTCATAAATGAGGGTTGAAATTGGTGTCTGAAACCCAGACCTGAGTCCTCACGATTAAATGAATTTAGGAGAGTTTAGGTCTTAAATACTAAGTTGATTCTTACTGAATACAGAACAATTTAAAATTAATTACTAGCCGTCTAGCATCTTCATCATCATCATCATTATTTGAACTGAAAGACTGCTACTTTTACCCAAAAGAGTAATTATCGACCAAAGAATAGTCAAAATTAAATACAAGACTTAATGAAGTAGAATATCTAATGGAAATAATAGAAGCTGTCGGACCTCATTTTAAATCTCCACTGCTAAACACAAACTTAGAAAAACTTGAGTCAGTTCCATATCTTTAAGTTTGGATTTGCTTATCTATATGATGCTGGCTTTTCTTTTGTTATTTTGTTTTGCTAAAGGCTAAAATTTTTGAAAGGTCAGTTTTCATTACCTTACCAAATGATTCTTTAATCTTTAACTGCTTTTACTGTTTTTTGAGATAAGATCTAATCCAGGTTAACTTTGAACTTACTATCTCCCCACCTTATCCTCCAAAGTTTAGGGTTTAGAGGAATACGTTGGCTCTCCACTAGAGCCAGTTTTACTACAAACTCTTAAGACCCTGAGTGCATGTCGTCTTTTTAAATTATTCAGGTGTTCACTAAAATGTGTTTCATGGAACATGCAGTATTTCTTTGCAAAAAGGTCCCTCATGAAGAAAATTGCTAGAATTATCAGTACAGGGGTTGATATGAGCCTGTCTCTGAGAGGCTAGGAGAAATATGCTTAGTAGCATTTGTTCCAAATGTTTAGTCTGAATATCATCATGAGGAGGCATTGAGACAAATTCGCAAGGTGATTTATTTAACTTCTCAGTAACCTCAATATCGTGAAATACAAACAACAACAACAGAGAACTGATAGGTGTTTAAAGTAGCTATGACTATTCTGGTTAGGACTTAGGATTTTTAAAATTTGAACAGGGGAACATAACATTATTGACTTAAATTTCTCAAGAATGATACTGATGGTAGAATGTTCCTTTTGTTCTTTGAGGATGTATATTTAAGTATTTAGAAGTGAGGTCATGATGTCTGCAAATATCCAGACCCTCCTCCCCAAAAAAGGGTGTGAAGAGAGAGAAAATAGGGCACTATTTTAACAATTGTAGTTCAGATGACTACCAAATGAGAATTTTTAACTCTTCTGTAAATCTGGAGTCTTTCCAAATAAATTGGAAACAAATTGTATCTGGCAATTATTTTTTTAAAATACCATGCTTCTAAGAAAATCCAAGATACATTTATATGTTTTTTTTACACTTACGTGCTGAAAAACTACTAGTCTGCACACTAACACCTATTAATTAGCCGAAGAAATCCTGTGTATTCTTTAATGATCACTTCTCAGCACGGTGGATGTTGCAGTAGAAGTTTAATAGTAATGAATTATAATCTGTCAATGTCTCGCAGATTTTTAATGTTTATTCATTTTAGCAATTATTTATGGAATACCTGTTATGTGACTGACCCTACACAGGTTCCAGGATCTCCAGAGGATACCAAAGTCTGAGAGCACACAAGTCACTTATATAAGATGGCATGATATTTGCATGTACTTGCATGTATGTTCCTGTATGCTTCATGTCATCCGGAATACAATGTAAATGCTGTGTAAACACTATATTTAGGGAATTGTGACCAAAAATGCATACATGTCCAGTAGACAGATACAATTTTGGGATATAGGCCTGCAGTACTAGATTCTAGAAATACGTTATAGCAGTACAGATATACATTTGTTAGAAGTAAATAAGCATATATATATCTCAAATAGTAGTTGTGCTATGTGGAATAATAAGCCAAACGTCAAGGGTAGAGAGTTTCAGTAAAGAGTGGACATATGCTGTTCTATACGGTGAATTAAGAAGGCCTGGAGAAGGAGCAAACCCCTGAAGAAGGGAGGGAGGGAGTTGGGACTGTCCAGGAAAGCGCACACTAAAAAGTGGGGCCGCAAGTGCCCAGGTTCCCAGCTGAGACCAGAGAGTGTCACAGGCAGGAGCGAGTGTGCAGTAGGAGATGAGGGTAGTGATGTAGCCAAGAATTAGACTGTGGATTACATCCAGATCTTAAATTAGGATGGGAAGTCTCTGAGAGCAATCCATCCAGGACTGTGTCACTTTCCATCTGGACCTGTGAAAGTGAAAAATGAGTTCTCTGCTTCTACAATAAAGTGGTAGAACAGGCAGAGAATGGCAGTTACAGCCATTTTTGGGCAAAAAGGGAGAAAGTGGAAAAAAAGTTATGGGTCCCAGTTTCCAAATCCAACCTGGAGTCTCCATTAAATGTCAAGGCTGAGGCGTAATGCTAGGTGGTTCTTGGCTTTACTGTGGGCTCATAGCCCCACCCTCTGTTCAGTAAGAATGAGCATGGAGGTCTTTGAGAGGCCATTATTTTGCCTGCCATAGTCATTATATTTATTAGATTTAGTATTACTGCATTAGTAATCATTTAATAATACTTCAAGTATTCACATAGTAGTTTTTCAGCACTTAAGCTGATGCATTCGTCTCAGTTAAGTGGTTCATTACTTCTGACCTTTAAACAAATCCTTGATCAGTACTTGTGGAGCTCACCATTTCAAGGAACTTTATTATGAATCACTAAATAGGAAATTCAAGTTTGCAATCTAATTTCTATTAGCTGGAAAGAATGTAGTCTTACAGATCAGATTTTCTTATAGGCACTTTATTTATTCTAACGTTACTGATTTTTTTCCCCGACCCAGAGTACCTGCAGTATGTTTAATTTTATGGGATAGGGAAAGTTTTACAGCTGCTAATGTCATCATTTCTTTACTTTTTAAGGACATTAAAACCCATTTCTGCCTCCCAGCAGGTGGCAGCAAATCAATACTCTGTAAGGTACTGTAAAATTACAGTTTTCTAATCTTGATAAGTGTTTGGATGTTGCAGACTGGCTTAGCAAGAAAAGCAAAAAGAATACTAGTGTCAATAAAGGTAGAGGTCAGTAATTGAGAGCACTTTGGAAAAACCCTAAATCTCAATAATTAAAAGCATAGAATTTCCAGATTTCTGGTCTTAGAAGTTCAAATTGACAGTGAAGACATTTTTTGTCCTCTTTTAAGCCAACTGGTTGACATAGGAAATAAAGAAATAATTAGTGTCACATTCGAACCAATTGCATTAACCTGGCACTGCCCTAAGATTGGAGTATGCTGGAAGCCACTGCGGATGGCTGTTGAGTATTTCACTGAAACAGTTATAGCATATTTAAAATTCATGAAATTGTTCCCATTTCTCGCTTTCCTTTCCTCACAGACTGAAAATACTGATTGAAAATCTGGGAACAAAACAGTGGATAGAGTTGACAAAACAAAATCTGTTCCTGGACAGTTTTTCATAAGTTTAATAAGTACGAAGATAATGAACACAGATTACATTTGCATAATGGCATAACAGAAATGTATTGGACAATGTAAACTATAGGGAAACCCATTTGGAAACTAAATCAGGATTCCGATTCTGGCAAGATGACTATTTAATGATGAGTAGTTTTATAGAGGAGAAGGAACAACCTCCTATGTTTTCCTCTATAACTGAGTCGCGGTGTCTGTGATGGTTGATTGGTTGTGTCAGCTTGAGTAAGAGAAGCTTAACTAAATTGGCTCAGCAGTTCCACACCCTAGGGTATGGAAGATACACCCTCGCCAGGTTGCCACCTGGATGGTGTGAAGGGGAAATGGAGAAGGATGGAGCTTCTTTGGAGGAACCCAGTCTTTGCCATTGCCATGGATGTCGTCACCTGGCTTCCAGCACAGATCCTTCAGCCTTCTGGGTAGACTCATCAGCCTTCCATGGCAGACTCGTCGGCCTCCTGATATGTGGCACAGAACACTGCAGTGAGCTCCAGACACTCTTAACTGTATTCCTTGGTTCCCAGAGTGCAGACACGCTCTGCACTCTTTCATGTCGGACTCTGGGTGACCATTGTGAGCCAATCATGTAAATTCGTACATACTTGTATATCTTGTATTGTATTTGTTTCTCTAATAAACACCAACATAATACCTTTCATCCTTATATTCTAATAATTAAAACTCAGTTTTAATTTTTCAACATCTAGGTTTATCCTAAATGTGTCTCTTCTAAGGATTTATAAAAGTATAAGCTTCTCTTTAATAGATCTTTGACAGAATTTGGGATTTACAAATCATTTTTAATATTAAAAGTATTTTTTGACCCTTAAGATTTTAAGTTATTCTTCCATGTCACTTTAACTGTCAGGGCTTAATTTCACACAAATTCCGCTTTGTAAGTGGAATTCAAAAAAAACCTTTCCTGCTAGAGGTTTCTTTTCTTTTTTCTAAGTATTTTTATGAAATTGTGGTCCCAATCTCTGTTTTGCAATTTTTAAACTTTATATTATCTCTGATCCTTCTGAAAATAATTACATAATTTTAGTATAACCTGAGAGGATACCTTTTCTGAAACTTCTGGGTTTCTGTAAAGAAAAACCAAGCGTGGTTTTACCAGTGTATCAGGGCTGAGAGTAAACTGATGGCCATGTGCTAGTAATTGTACCCCTCAGCCTACCTGTGAAGTACAATGCTGGAGTCCCATTTTACGTATGAAGAAACTGAAAATAACCAGGGTACCAGCCAGCATAATAGTTTTGAACTCATGTTGACTCTAGGGTGTACATCCTTATCATTGATCATTGATGTTTCCTTCCTCCTGTTTTGTCGTGTGTTTGCTAAAGCCAAAGAATTATTTGGGATCCTCACCATAATTTTGATCTCTCCATTTTCAGCGTTTTCTTTCTAGAAGTTTTCCTGTGCTACAATGGCATGCTCTTGGCAAACTTCCCAGCGCAATACACAGTTTTACCACATGATGGTGCTGTTGAAGTGGGAAGCCAGGTGCTGGCTCAGATCTGTATTTAAATGCCAAAAGAATGTAGTTAAAGATGTTTAAAAATAAGAATTTAAAAACAGCAGTCATAAAGAGTTATATAGCATTTTTAAAACATAAGGAATGAAAAGATCACAACTACGGAAGTGTAAGTAATTGACTCACGGAAGTTAAAAAGATAAAAGATGAGCCTTTGTACTCATAAAGAAATAATATGGCACAAATACCAGAGACTTTCCACAGGAAGGAAAACACCAAAGGAAATGAACTAGATGACAGCAGGTGACTGAAAAACAAAACGAGGCCAGCTGTGCAGTGATGTCGTCTCAGGGTCAAATGCATGAGTGTTCTAGTAAGATTCCATAGTAAGTGGGGTAACAAAGCCAATGATTGAAAGACTTTAGAGAATGCTTTAATAAACACCACCACCTTTTCTAACCAGAACAAACGTTTTTCCTGCAATGTACAGGGAAAGGTTGCAGAAATTGTTGCTTTTCAGAAATTATTAAAGCAAATCCTTACCTATTCTGTGACTGCAGTGATCCCTTGACCAGCAGACAGACAGAGGTTGTTACACATGTAGATTCTGTGCTCCTACTCGAGGCTTAGGGAACCAGAAACTCGGGAAAGGCAGCCTTTGCATGTCTACATGCATCCGAAAGCTTGAGATCCACTGTTACTTAATAAGAAAAAGAAAATTCATGAAATATTATTAATAGCACGAAGATATTTGAAACCACAGTATAATTTACAGGAATATTAAGTAAATCATCCTTGCAGTAAACATTCTGTTGAATAATTTTTAATAATAGAAATTGCCTATCATAGTGTGACATGTCAGAATAGAAAATTGCTCTCACGTGAAACAATCGCAGAAAAAGACTAAAAGGACAAGCGAAACTAGTTAACAGTGGTTGCCTTGGAGTGATGAGATTATGCACGTATTTTCCCCCTACTTCTTTATATTACTTAGTGTTTCTCAGAAACCACTGTACACCTTAAAAATTGCTGTTGGGAGGTGGAGCCTGGTGAGAAGTGAATCACTGAGGACAAGACATGAGGTGTCCCCTCGCTGGCCGTCTCTTCTCTCTGCTGGCCAGCCACCTCTGCCTTCAGCAGCTCTTTCGTGGCAGGCCTTTTTACCCTGCTGTTTCTGTATTTATGCCTGCCATCCATGGGCCAAAATTCCATAGCTGCGTGTGGAATATTATGTCTCGGTGATGGAAAAGTTACTAAAACATAGGGCATTCCAGACCATGTAAAATACCTTAAAAATCTAAGACTACATTCTCTAAAAAATAATAAAGTAATAAAACAAATTATTAAGAGAAAATCATTTGAAAATCTGTGGGGAAATTATCTCAGTCTTAAGCAAAAAGGAAAATAATTTTTGATATTTTAGGGGAAAATGCATATAAAAACAAGTCTGAAGGAATGCATACGAAGTTGTACTTTTAAAAACAACATCCATCATTTTAAAAAGTCTAATTGAGCTAAATCTTTGGTTCTGTAAATTGGAAGATAGTCTCTTCTCTACTCCCCAAAATCATGAGAAAGTGAAATAGAAGTAAACATTAAAGAATTATGAAATAAAAGCTGTTGCAGATATAAGTTGTGTCTTTGGATGAAAAATAATACAAAAATGTCCTGAAAATTTTAAAGAAACACACAAACACACCTAATACTTTAGGAATAGGAAATGGGATATAAACACTGGTATAATTCTTAGTTATACAAAAAATTCTTAGTTATAACATAAAACCTTTATTTCTGTTATTATAGCAGGCTGAGTCATTTATTCCAGCCCTTCCTGCTGGAAGGAAGAATAACTTAAAAAGGATGGGTACTACATGGAAAACATTATTTAAAGCAGTAAAGCTTTAACAATACAGTATGGAATTTCCAGGACAAAATCTAAACAGAGCCAGGGACTCCAAAGATGCTAACTGTTTATATTGCAGTGTCCTGGGAGCGTTTACGAAATGAGACAGAGGTTTAGCTTTTGTCATTGAAGAGTATAGACAACAGAAATCAAAGCCCAGCATTTACCCAAGATGAAGATCTAGGAGATCCTTTGCCCACAAAGCCCAGATACAAAGGGATATTCCCTTGGGAGGAGGATAAAGGAGGTGTTTCTGAATTGATAGTTTCTTTGCACCAAGCAAAGGCAGAGACAGCCTCACTTTAGGATTCTAAGAATCCTCAAAAATAATTTTCCAAGGGAAAACAAAAATCAGTTCACAGTCAAAAGTAATCGAGCAATACTAGGAAACCATGAATAAGAACAAGCAGAAACAATAGAAACAAATGTATGATAAATTTAGATAGACTGTTTCATTGAAAATAATAAAATTACTGCGCTTCTAAGAGTGAAAAATGAAATCTTTAGGGGATAGGAAACTAAAAAATGAATACATTTGTAGGAGAACATAGTAGAACTTGGAGAAATGGAAAATACAATTGAAATATGAAACTCAGTGGATAGAGTTAACAATATATAAGAAGCAGTTGAAGGTTTGTACCCAAGATAGATAAAACTATTCAGAATGCAGAGTTAGGAATAGCGGAGAGTATGACAAGAGTTTATGTAATGTGGTGCGTAGTTAGGCATTTTAGAGTTCAGTTGACAGGGAGAGAGACTGATAGGAGGTAGATGTAATTGGCTGAGAATTCCAGCACTAGTGAGAGGCAGCCAAAATAAATCTACACCTGGATGCGTATCATAACTGAACAAAAGCAAGGAATTAAGATTTTAAAATAGGCCTGTGAGGTAGGGGGTGATTATTTTCACAGGAGCCTAAGACTGGCAGCAAAAAATAAAAGCCTGGAGATAATGTCTTTAATATGTTAAAATAACTGCTGATCTAAAACCCTATATCCAGTGACACTGTTTTTCAAGAATGCAAGTACACACATTTTAAGCCAAGAAATATGAAGAGAGTTTATCAACTAGTGCAAAACCTTCAAAACAAGACATAATTTGAACTGGAAAAAAGTGCTTTGAAAGGAATAGTCTATGCAAAAAGAAGCAAAGGAAGGGCTAAGTGTATGGATAATGAGAAAAAACATCAAGTAGGGACAAAAATTAACTCTAAGTTCTGATAGCAAACAACCATTGGACCAGCCAAAAATGAGCTCAAAATGGATAATAGACTTAAGTGTAAGACCAGAAACTATAAAACTAGAATTGAATGTTAAGGGGGAAACTCCTGGACCTAAGCCTTGTCAGTGTTTCTTTTGGAGATCACACCAAAAGCTCAGGCTAAAACATAAAAGTACATAAATAAATGAAATTTAGAAGTTTCTGCAGAGCAAAGGAAGCAGCCAGAAGAATGAAACACAGCATTCAAACTGAGGGGAAGAAGCACCTGCAAACCATACACATAAAGTTCTCAATGGTGGTTCAACTTACGATGTTTCAGCTTTTTAGTGCATTTTTTGCTTACGATATGTTTATTGGTGCAACTTCATTGTAAGTTGAGGATCATCTGCATCTGATAATGAATACCCAAATTTTATGGAGAACACATACAACCCATAGGAGAAAACACATTAAAAATGGGCAAAAGACTTGAATAGACAATTCTCAAATACAAAATAAAATATAAAAATGGAAAAAGGAATATGGAAAGGTGCTTAACATCATTAATCTTCAGGGAAATGCAAGTCAAAAACACTAGTGATACCATTTCACACCTGTTTTCCAGCTGTTACTAGAAGTCAAAGGATGCGAAAGAAAGGGAACTCCTGGATTCTGTGGATGGGAATGTAGATGGCTTTGACTATTATAGCATACAGTATGAAGATTTCTAAAGTAATAACCCAGCAGTCCCTTCTCTGGGCATACACCCAAAGGAAGTGAAACCATCACTTTAAAAATGCCTGTAATCCCATGTCCACACAGCATTATTCACCATAGCCAACACACAGAAAAAAACCTCTGTACCCATGAGGAAGTAAGTGAATGAATGAATGAACTCTAGCATTCATACCCCCCCATAGTATTTAGCCACCAAAAAGATGAGCCACAAAATGAATGAGGCTGGAGGACATTATGCTAAATAAAAGAAGCCAGACACAGAAAACAAAATATTGCATACTTATATGTGCAACCTAAAAAATTCAAATGTACAGAAAAAAAAGAACAAAATAATAGTTACCCA